TCTGGAACTCTGATCACTTGCAAATTTTTGCTTTTGATTGTATCCCACACAATTCTCAGGGTTTCTTCATTTTTCTTCATTCTTTTTTCTGATTTTTCCTCAAACAGAGTTATATCCAAGTGTTTGTCTTCAATTTCGCTGATCCTATCTTCTATCGTTTCAAACCTGCTCCTCAGCCCTTCTATGACACTGTCCATTTCTGAAATCTTGTTGTTTATCTTTTGGATTTCTAGTTGTTGTTTTTGTATGATTTCTAGTTGGGAATTTATTTTAGCATTTTATTCCTGTATCATTTTCTTGAATTCTTCCGTTTTTTGTCTGTATTTTTCATGAATTTGTCTATTTTTTCCTCATTTTTGTCTATTTTTTGCTTCAACTCTTGGGTATTTCTGAATATTAGAGATTTGAATTCCCTATCGGTTAGGTCTAGTGCCTTTTCTTCTACTGGAAGGTCATCTGGTGTTTTATTTTGGACATCCACTGGACCCATCCTGTCTTATTTTTGTAAATGTTTTGATATTGTTTTCTGTCTTCGGGGCGTTCAGTGGTTATTTTCCTTGTTTATTGATTGTAGATTTGTTTGTTTCATCCTGCTTTTTTGTTTTATTTGGTTATGCCTGAGCCGGCGGGCTGTGCATTCTTTGTTGTTTACTCTTCTGTGGGCACGATACTTTTCACCTCCTTCTCCAATGGGCAGGGTCAGTGACTCAGGTATGGTACAGCAGGGCAGGTCCAGCTGAAGGTGAGTTGCTGGGATAGGTTTTCTATGGCACGTACCAGGGCTGACAGTGCTTACTGGGAATCAGTGCAAGGCAGGTTCCAGTAGGCCATGCCTGTGTTGCTTGGGAGTGTGATGTTCAGCACAGGTAGGCAGGGCAGAGGGGGTAGATTGTAATGAGTGGAGCTAAGATGGGTATAGGAAAGAGGAGAGAGAGGAAAGAGGAGCAGGAACCAAAGACATACACCCAAACAAAAAAGAGTGCTAAGGGAACTTGCTATTTGAGTGGAGAGATAAGAGACTGAGAAATGGGGAAAAACAAAAATGAAAAAAAAAGAAAAAGGGTAAAAGAAAAAATGAATAAATCAAGAAACTGGAAATGAAGAAAGACAAAAAGGGAATAAAATGTAGAAGAAAACTAAACAAAGAAATGAAAAAAGATCAAACAAAAAGAAAGTAAGAAAAAAAATGCCCCCAGGGATGACCCTGTGCATCTGCGCAGAGTAAGGGGCTAGTTCCAAGCTATGCAGTACTGCCCGGCCAGAAGGGGCCCCCAAGCTGAGAAAAGAAAAAGAAAACAAACAAGTCAAACAAAACAAATCAGAGCAAACAAACAAACAAAAAAAGCCCTGGGGTTGTCATCAGCATGGAGGCACAGGCCGGGAAGCAGTTCCACAGTCAAGCGGTGTTTCGCAGCCTTTCAGAAAGAAGCAAAGATGGCACATGGAGCCAGGTACTTGAGAGAAAGGATGGGGAGGTTGTGAGAGGTAAGGAAGAAATCTAAAGAAGCAGAAAAAAACAACACCAGCAGCCAACAAATGGCACACAGGGAGCTGGCCAGTGCGGGTGTGTGGAATCTAAGAGGCACTGGGGGGAAGCTCGTGCTTCCTGGCCAATAGACTGTGGCTGCAGGAAGCAGAGGAGGCTAAATGGGGGTGAAGAAGGGTGGGGGGTGGGAAAGCCTATATTGTGGGTTACCGGTTGTTCTGTCTCCTGCTGGAAGCTCCGTGAAGTTGCTTTCTTGTACCTCCTGTTCGCTGATCTCTGATGGTGGATCAAGATGGTGGATCCGTGCTGCGGTAGCTGATAGGGGACCTCTGCACGTATCTCTCCTTGCGATCTGTTCTCGGTCAGTTTCTTACTCCATTTGGTGCTTGGGTGAGTTCTTTATCTCTCCATTTGATGCGTAGGGTTTCAGGATTGACGTGTGACTCTGTTTGACTTAGTTTTTCTGATCTTTGCTGCAGAGGGACAGCATGGTGCTTCTGACTATAGTGCCATGTTGCCCAGAAGTCCCTTACACACCTACTTTAAAAAAATTTTTTTTTCAATATGCTTCTACCTTTTTTGATATTAAAATCTTTCATGAAACATTGCTGAAGGTAAGTAGTTGGGCTTTCTTTTAACGTGCTAGGCAAAATTAAAAGTTTGCAATACTATTACACTATTGTGGGCTCCAAAATTTGTTAAAACCCCAAGGTCAGAATTGACCTCAGACTCCTCTTTCCTTCAAATACTACACAAACCTGACAGACCTATCAGGTGGAGGCCACCTCCTACACTTTTTGAGAAACTTGAGGTCATCTGGAGGAGTACTTGAAGCTTCAGTCCTTTTGAATTCAATTTTGGAGTCCCTATTTTTCACCTATTTCTTTTCTCTCTTTCTCAGAGGAAGAGATTACCTTTCAGTCTTTCTAAGGCTACCTTTTCTACCTTCATTCCATCACCATCAAGATATTAAGGCACTACTTTTCTTTCTTCTCTTTTGCTTAGTGTTTTCTTCACTGGCTTATCTTTTTTCTGTGAATATGCTTAGTTTTTTTCCAGACTTTGAATACCCTACTTTTCAAACAATTATCAATTTCTCTGTCTTTTTGCTGCCTATTTCTCAAGAATAATCTGTATGCTGCTCCCATTTCCCACTTGTGAACTAGATCTTGGTGCCATCACTCTACTGAAACTTTTTCTTAAATACCAACTAACCATAAAATCTTATGTTCTTTATTTTACTTTTCATCTTCCCTGGTATCTCTGTGGCATTTGACACTATTCTTCTTTACTTTTTCTCAATTCTGTCCTATCTTAGCTACTGTGGCATTGTTCTTTTCTCCATGTTTTCATTCACCTACCTCTTTGATTAGTCCTCTCCTTTCTTCAGCCATGTTTTTTCTCATCCTACTTACTAAATGGAAGTGTTAAGATTCGGTCCATGTTCCTTATTTTTTAATCTGTACTCTTGGTGCTGCCATCCTTTCACACATCATCCATTATCATTATGTTAGACTCTGAATCTATATATTTTTCTCCATATTTTGTCTTGATCTTTTAACCTACGTTTTCACTGTTCAATAGGTCCAAAATTAAATTTATCATCTTCTAAAACATCTCATCTCTTCACTTTCAAGTCTCTCAGTCACCCATCAGAGTCATCTATGAATACTTCCTCTTAACTGCTTCTCATTAGGACTGTGCAGGAGGTTTTCTCTCTTTTCCAATCCATTCTGCGTACTGCAAGTAGATTGTCTCCTAATGCATAGCTCTTATGTTTTCCTGCACAGAAACATTCAGTTGTTTCTTACCAAATGAAAGTCCAGCTCCTTAGCTTAGTGTTAAAAATCCTCTGTGTATTATTACTCAAACTATGTAGCCTAAGGATTACTTCTATTGGAATCACCTGGCATACTGCATACCACCCAAGATTTTGAAGGGTCTCATGTGGCTCAGAAATCTGCATTTTTAATGAGACTTCAGATAATTCTTATACACACTGAAGTTTGTTAACTATTGCTTTGTGATCTTCTTTGTTTACTACCTCAAACTTACATCACATGATTCAACTTTACATAACCTACATTTCTGCCACACCGACATAATTTCATCATTATGACCTAATTGTGTACCATATTTTCTAATGTGCCTGCTGAAGCTATGGCCTCCATCTGTAATGTCCTCCCTTTTGGCTCTTCCATCTATCAAGATTCATTTCCAATGCTCCGTCTCATTTAAGACTTTCTTCATCTGAGCTGGAAGTGATTGTCCCTTCCTCTGAACATTTTGTGTGGAATTTTTTCATAATTGCCGCAATTAGTTGCTTATAAACATGTCTTTTTCATTATAAGTCTGTAAGCTCCTCAAGTTCAGGTATCATGTCAGTTGCACATTTTTGTATCACTCATAGACACATATACAATGTATGGGGCCTGGAACATGGATTATAGAGCATATTCAATAATGTTAATTATTGTTAATTAAATAATAAACTAATTGATAGTTAATCAATCAATATATTAAATAGATAAATGGGTGAATTTATGATAAACTTACTCCACCTCATGGAATTGTACTAATTTTTCCTATAGTGAAAGTAGAAGAATATAGGAATTGCTTCCTATTCAGAAAGAGGTGAAGGTATTGTATTTCTGGGAAACTCACTAAGACTTTCCATAAACTTTTAAGATGTAAAATGCTGTGATTCAGCTATGTAGCTCAAGTCAAGAGGTGAATTCAGAATTTTCCAACTATACTTTCAACCCTGAAATACAATTCAAGGACTGAATATCTAAAGGCCTTCCAATTATTAGGAGATTCCCATTTTAAACATTATTTCTTGAGTATCCTTAGTATAGTTTGTTAAGAATTAAGGCATAATTTCAAATAGCTGAGTTGAAAGTGACTTGATGGCAATTTTTTTTTTTTCTATTTGGGTTGTTTATTTTGGAAAATGTAATTTACCCCTCAGGCAGTACTTTTTACTTAGGCTTCCACAATTTCTATATATGAACTCTCTGTAGGGAACAGTTTACTGATCACCTGTTCTGCCCACCAGTTTACCTATTGGAGAATTAAAGTAGGAGATAACGGAGTAGTACTTTTGTGTGATACTTAAAGTTATGTTTACTACAAAGCAATTTGAACAGTGTTATTTTCCCATACCTATTCAATGAGAAAGTGTTTGTAGTACATATCTCTGGTGGTTTTTCCATTACTTTTTGATATTGTGTTGAGAAATTTGACCTACTTAGGATTTTTTTCATTGAAAAGTGATTTTCAAAGATGTAAAGATCTGTCATGAAGTGGTAAATACTCATGAGAAATTTTATTCTCCAAAATGATATTTCTCTATTTCTTCTGATATATTCTGAGATGGGATTGACTTATCCAAAGGAATTAGTTAACCTTTGAGTTCTATAATTCTATGGAAGGAGATAACATATTGCCAAAATGTGGTTTAAATGAAAATTAGTATTCATATTTTAATTTTTACATATTTTCTAAATAACAGCAAAACCAAAAGAGTACTCCTGAGATGGAAAGACAGAGAGCTGTGTACCATCTAGCCACTAGGCTTGTTCAAACTGCTCGAAACTCTCAATTGGATTCAGACAATTTACGAATATATTTACGTAATCTCAAGAAGAAGTATGAAGCAGATTTTCCAAGACTTGAACAAGTTCCAGAAAAGACTGAAGAATAACAACAATTCACATCTTGTACTAATGAAATAATTTATCTTAATATGGAAAACCTAGAATTAATTTTCCCCTGAAAGCAAAAGAAAATAATGATATTTTCTAATGTTTGTATTTTAATTGAAAATTACATTGTATTAACCTCAAATTATCATCTATATATTCTGCATGAGAAAATATTTGTTATAACAAAAGAGAACTATGTGAAGGAATGACTTTATGTTAGAAAAAGTCCGTATAATGTACCACTTTCCTCTCATTTATGAAAATTTACATTTCAAGTCCTAAGTTATTTATGGGAGCCCTGGTGGCAAAGTGGTTAAGAGCTCAGGCTGCTAACCAAAAGGTCAGCAGTTCTAATCCACCAGCCACTCCTTGGAAACCCTACGGGACAGTTCTGCTCTGTCCTATAGGTTTGCTATGAGTCAGAATCAACTCAACAGCACAAAACAACAACAAGTTATTTATACCTACAAATGATGGTTTAAAATATTATTGTAAATTCTTTAGCTTAAAAAATGTTCTTTTCAGGTCATATAACTTTTCTGAACTTCTTTTTCACATTTTACTCTAAAGTAATAATACTCAATGACTCAGTAATTTCTTAAATTAGTGACTCCAAATCCTAACGCTGGATGTTTCTGAAATTTGTTAGAATAATAGTGACAATTTTGAAATATTCATTTTGATATTCAGTGTAATTCTAAGGATGAAAATAGACAAATAGATATTTTGTAATGCAGTTGATATTCCATGTAATTCTAAAGGATGAAAATAGACAAACAGATATTTTGTAATGCAGAGAAGAAGGGGAAGTCATCATCAGTAGCCCTCTCAATTTTCCAAGTATGCAGGAGTTCCATTTTCTATTCACTGACCTCCTCCCTTTTCCCAATTTTCAGCTTTGGACAGCTTTATTAGGTGGGTAACCAAGGCAGCATAAAGGTAATATTGGTTGGTTTATTTTCCTCAGTTGTTGGTTCACAAAGGAGCATTTTAGAGAATTGTTTTTCCAAGTTATGTGGCTTACAGCTCAATTTCAGAGTTTACCCAAAGGTCATTCTTGTTTTGTAAATGGGCAAAAGAAAATGGAAGACTTTCCAGTTCAGCAACTGGAAAGAGTGTTTTCTTCTCAAACACATTAGTTTTACAATTCCATCTCAGTAGATGACTTATTCACATAATCTCTGCCCAAAGGCCAAAGATAGGGAAATTATTCTTTTTTTGGGCAACTAAGTGCCTGGATTCAGAATATACATTTGAACCATTTATTCAATAAGCTTCAGTTTTTTTTTTTTTTCATAGACTGGTTAGTTTCCTATTTTTGTTGATATTTGTGTTTTATATTTTGAAACATTTAATATTGATATTTGTTGATTTTATGAGACTGTATCAGAAGTTTAAGTTAATATTAATCATATATATTGAAGAAGTTTTAATGTAAATGACATAGATACTTTCTTTGAATAATTTTAATTTAGTATTTAAATTTAATATGTATTAAATGTCCTATTAGACTACTTATATTTCCTGTTGTCATGTTTAGAGAGTATCACAATATTTGAATTTGATCATTAGCTATGTTTTAATTCACAGTCTTTTAAATGAATTCTATTTTTTGTGATCATTCCTAAAAACAATTAGATAATTTAGACTTGTGGCAAATTTCTAGAAGGTACTGAGGAGGAAAAAGGCATGGCAGGTTGTTTAGGAAGGCAGGAAATGAAAAGGCAGGAAACAATAAAAGGAAGAAGGGGAGCAGGCTGTGGAAGAAAAACAGGCAAGCAAAGACAGGTGCAAAGTGTTAAATATGCTGAATATAATTTCTTTAAATGTATTAACTTCCTTTTAGATTTAACCCCACTGTTAGATTCTACCAGAATTTTAAGACTTTTTTCATCAATTAGAGCTTTTGATAAAAAATTGCAGCCAACTGATTAATGTCTTTTAGTGTAGATTTGGAATACTGAAATAAAAATATGCTTATATCTTCTTAAAATTAAATTGCTTTTTCTTAAATAACTTTGTGTGTAGCAGAGACATACAAAAAATCAAATGAAGATATGACTATTATCCGTCATGGTACTGAAGAATAGAAGTGAATATTAGAGAGACAGTCCATTCTTTAATTTTAAGATCTATTTGCCCTACTCCTTAGTTTCTTTTCACCTTTGTTTTTCTCTAAATTATAGATCATTATCTTATAATCCATGATGTTTTAACAACTCCTTTAATTTCCACCTCAAAGCTATTCTTTTAGTCTGTTCCACCTATCTCCTCACTGGATAAAATGCCACGGTAGGTTAATTCCTTTCAAATCTAGGGTAAAGAGTATTGGGATGAAGGAGGGGAATAGCCGATCCTCATGCTTAAGAAGTAATACATTTAATATTAAATTTACATATGTAAATTTTGTAGTCAAAACTCCCCCATCCCCTAACTTTAACCCAGCACAGACCTGTTTTCCTTCCTCATAGTTTTGCCCAATGGAATCATATAGCATATAACCTTCTAAGACTGGCGTCCTTCGCTCAGCATGATGCATTTGAGTCTTCCATTGACTAGTATTCCATGGTTTGAATGAACCACAGTTTGTTTATCCATTCACTCACTGAAGGACATTTGGGTTTCCAGTTTTTTGCAATTACGAATAAAGCTGCTATAAACATTTGTATGCAGATTTTTGTGTGAACATAAGTTTTCATTTATGTAGGTTAAATGGTAATGCAATGGCTAGGTCATATGGTAAGTACATGTTTTATTTTTATAAAAAGCTGCTAAACTGTTTTCCAAAGTGGCTGTACCATTTTTCATTCTTACCTGCTGTGTCTAAGAGTTCCAATTGTACCACATCTTGGTCAGCACTTGTATAAAAAGCTGCTAAACTGTTTTCCAAAGTGGCTGTACCATTTTGCATTCTTACCTTCTGTGTGTAAGAGTTCCAATTGTACCACATCTTCGTCAGCAGTTGTTATAGTCAGTTTTTTTTAAAAAAATAGCCATTCTAGTAGGTGTGTAGTGAGTAATGCAGTTTTAAAAAGCTATTCTAATAATTCTTCAGCAAGCAGTGGTGTTTTATTTCTTTTTTCCTAAATTACTTTTAGCCTACCCTCTCTGATAGTACATTTAAAAATGTCCCTTCAAGCAAAGGTTTTAGAATAGATCTCTTTACTTTTAGAAAACTACAAAACAAATCTAATTCAATAAATATTTACTGAATTTCTCTACGGTGGACCAGGCAACATAGTAGTTGCTAGGAGTACAAAAGACAGGATATCTGACTTTGAGGACTGCATGTGTAGTAAAGAGAAAAAATACATATATTAAGGTTGGAATACCATATGATAAGTATAATAATAGAGGAATGTATTAAGGGTAGTGGCAAAAAAAAAAAAGAGTATATAATTCTTTGCTGTCAAAGAGAGATTGAAGGATAAGTAAAATATGTCAGGTGTTCAGGAAGGAAAAATCATTTTATATAGAAGGTTAGAGTATGTGAAAGCACAAAGATGTGAAACAGTAAGCAGTCTGGTTTAGCAGGGGTTTATAGAGTGTATCTGAGAAAGTGGCAAAAAGATGAAGCTAAACAGATAAGTAGGTGCTTTGTGTCAATTTCTCTTGTTAGGCCATGAGAGAGTTTTGTACCGTATATGTTGTGGGATAAGAGGGTAGGGGTGGTAGTGGAGGGATAACATGATTAGATTTGCATTTTAGGAAAATCATCTAGGTAGTAGAATGAGTGGTTTGGGATAGGAAGTTAAAACTAGAGAAAGACCAGATAGTTAAGAGACCATTTCCATAGTCCGGGAGAGTTGATAAGGATCAAAGGCAGAAACAATGAGAATGGACAGAAGTCAGTGGGAGTAGGAGAAGAATGGAGGGAGTGGGTGGCTGGTGAAGAAGAGACTAAAGAGCCTCGGTAGTGCAAAGGGTAAGCGCTCAGCTGCTAACTGAAAGGTTGGCGGTTGGAACTCACCCAGCAGCTCTGGGAGAAAGACCTGGTGATCTGCTTCCGTAAAGATTACAGCCAAGAAAACCTTATGGGGCAGTTCTGCTTTGTTGCATGGGGTTGCTATGAGTGGAAAATCGACTCGATGGCACCTAACAACAACAAGGAGATTTATTCACTGATTAACTAGATTTAGTGAGTAATTTTATTTTTAATGAGGGGAACCTGTTAAACCCATTGCTGTCGAGTTGATTCCCACTCATAGTGACCCTACAAGAAGAGAGAAGGACGGCCCCATAGGGTTTCCAAGGAGCAGCTGGTGGATTCGAACTGCCAATCTTAGTGAGGGGAAGGGAAGAGTTAAATATGATTCTGGGTTGGTGCTGATGACATCAACCATGCTAAATAATATGGAAGTAATCAGAATTCCAGTAGAAAGAGTTTCTTGAAATTTAAATACTGCTTGTTGCCCATTCTCTGGAATAGATATGAGTTACGTTCACTACAAGTGATGACTAGGCCAAATTCTTTTTTTTTTTTTTTTTTATTGTACTTCAGGTGAAGGCTTACAGAACAAATAGTTTCTCATGAAACAGTAGTACACATATTGTTTTATAACATTGGTTAACAAC